AGTAGAATAATACCATAATTAATGCAAATAAAATAAGACAACAAAAAAAAAAGTTATACAAATCTTTAGACATAATATTGTTTTGAATTATTTGTAAAATTAATAATTAGTATTTATAGTAGTTTTTAAAAAGTAAACATTTTAATATTATAACTAAAATACTGCTTTTTAATATACACACTATTTTTTATTATATTGAGTATGTTTTTCTAATACTTTCTAGTTGTTTAATTTGCTTGGATTTAAACGTCTTGATCTCATAGAAATTCTTCTAAAGCATAGGAATAACATAGTCAAGCAAAATTTTTCTTCAGATGAAAGAAGATTTGCATTCAATGCCAAAGATATAAGTATGAATCAAACGATAATATTTATTTAATATTTTGTATTAATTTTGTTTAATAATAAAAATGAAAAAAATATTATTCTTAGAGATGGATAAACAACCAAGACATATGGAAATGATAACTATTGAAACTGAAGAAGATAAGAAACTTAGAAAAGAATTGAGAAAAGAAGAAAAAGCCCTTCAAAGATTTAATCGACGAAGAGAATCTGATTCTGATGATGAAGCAATTAAAATAGTTTCTAAGACGTTAGTTTTAAAATAAAATATTTTATTGTAAAATTTAAATATAATAGATGTTAAATTTATTTTTAAAATACCCTTATTACCTGTATTTTAGTACTAGTGCACCTAATGTCCCCATGTTTATTGATCCAAAGAGTTGTAAGGCACCTTTAGCTGAAAAGTTTCCACATGTATATGACATAAATTCAGAATCAAAAGTATCAAGTTGTAAGTGTAACCATTGTATTGTAACTTATTAAAAACAAAAAGGTTTTAATATGAAATTGATTAACATAAAGGTTATATAAATGGAGATCCTTGTACTATTCCTATTGGAGCTAAAAGAACTGATCATAAAACTTATGAAGAAGTGTACATTCCACCTACTAGGTTGTCACAAGATTTAACAGTTGGCAAAAAACTAGTTGCTGTTAAAACATTAGATGAGGTAAATATTATTGTTTTTAATTCATTTGAAATATGTTAAATTGTGGCTATTACTATATTACATTAAAAAAATATATTTTAAGCATATTTTTTAAATAAAAATAAAAAAAAAATATTAGTATAGTATGTATATTTACATACAAATATATTTCTAAATGTGTTTTATATTTTAAAAATTATTTTAGATTGGCCAAAAAGCATTTAGTGGTATTCA